CTGTAAATGCTTCACCCACGCACTACAATTACAAATAATCGTCAACAGAACCTAAACACCTAACCTATGCCTATAATATGCTATTATAATATTAATTTTTATTTGAGAAAATTCCTGTTTTGAATGAACAGCATGTAGTCTAAACAAAACACAGGAACGTAGTATACCATACAAATTGAATAGATCGTATACTAATGACCCAAAGTGGATAACAAAGAATTTGAAGAACCTTATAGGTAAAAAGAGAGCTTGGTACAAAAGGATTAAAAATGGGGAGGTCACTTTAGAACAGGAATTCGTACAACTGGTTAGAAATGTTAAAAAAGAGATAAGGAAAGCAAAAAGAAACTATGAAGTTCGCATAGCAGGGCAAGCAAAGACAAATCCTAAAGGGTTTTTTCAGTTATATCGTACTAAGACTAGGGAAAGGATAGGTCCATTAAAAACTGAGACAGGTCAAATAACAGATAGTGATGAAGAGATGAGTAGTATTTTTAATAAATATTTTGTATCTGTATTTACTAAAGAGGAACTTAACAATATGCCTTCAGCCGAACAAGTCTATGTGGGTGGGGACGAGGACAGGTTGACGAGTTTAGCAGTTACCAGGGAGGATGTTCTTAAACAAATAGTAAAACTCAAACCAAACAAATCCCCAGGGCCGGATGAAGTGTTTGCTAGGGTGCTTAAAGAATGCAAAGAGGAGCTTTGTGACCCACTGTCAACCATATTTAATAAATCAATAGAGTCAGGCAGAGTGCCAGAGTTTTGGAAAGTTGCTAATGTGATACCAGTTTTTAAGAAAGGAGATAGATCACTTGCGTCTAACTATCGACCAATTAGCCTAACGTCTATTGTGGGAAAGTTACTCGAATCTATAATAGCAAATAAAATTCGTCTTCATCTTGAAAAACATAAATTAATAATTGAGTCGCAACATGGTTTTATAAATGGCCGTTCATGTTTAACAAATTTGTTATCTTTTTATTCTAGCATTGTTGAGGCAGTTGATAGTGGTAAGGATTGCGATGTTGTATACCTTGACTTTAGCAAAGCTTTTGATACAGTGCCACATGAAAGACTGATTAAAAAAATAGAGTCTCATGGTATTGGGGGTGCTATATTAAGCTGGATTAGGGCATGGCTATACCAAAGGAAACAGAGAGTTAGTATAAATGGAATCAAGTCAGAGTGGGAAAATGTTGTAAGTGGAGTGCCTCAAGGCTCTGTCCTGGGACCTCTGTTGTTTATAATATATATAAATGATTTAGATTCAGGTTTGAGTAGCAACATTTGCAAATTTGCCGATGATACGAAAATCGGTAGGGAAATTAATTCGGAGGAGGACTCACTATCACTTCAAGTTGATCTAGATAGGGTTTTGAAATGGTCAAAGGATTGGCAGATGCAGTTTAATGCTGATAAATGTAAAGTTCTGAGGTTAGGTAATGATGATAGAGTTACAAGATACGAGCTAGATGGTGTTGTGATTGCGAAGTCGGATTGCGAAAGGGATCTGGGAGTTATGATTAGTAAGAATTTAAAACAAAAGGATCAATGCATAAATGTTCGTAATAAGGCAAATCGGACACTTGGATTTATTAATCGCAGCGTTAGTAACAAGACACCTGGTGTGGTTCTCAAGCTATATCTTGCTCTAGTTAGGCCCCATTTAGATTATGCAGTTCAGTTTTGGTCGCCATATTATAGAATGGATATAAATTCACTTGAACGTGTCCAGCGTAGGATGACTAAGTTAATTCCCCAAATTAGAAATCTTTCATATGAAGAAAGATTAACAAAGCTTAAGTTGCATTCACTGGAAAGGCGAAGAGTTAGGGGTGACATGATAGAGGTTTACAAGTGGATGAATGGACATAACCGGGGGGATATTAATAGGGTATTAAAAGTATCAACACAGGACAGAACACGAAACAATGGATATAAATTGGATAAGTTTAGATTTAGGAAAGACTTGGGTAAATACTGGTTCAGTAACAGGGTTGTTGATTTGTGGAACCAATTGCCGCGTAACATTGTGGAGGTGGGGTCCCTCGATTGTTTCAAGCACGGGTTGGACAAGTATATGAGTGGGATTGGGTGGTTATAGAATAGGAGCTGCCTCGTATGGGCCAATAGGCCTTCTGCAGTTACCTTTGTTCTTATGTTCTTATGTTCTTATAAAATTTATGAATGCATCTGTGGGGTCAACCGCTGGATGGAATAGACTTAACTCGAGGACGGGTTGTAAATTATCACCCGCGTTATTGTGACGGACGTTGTGCAAAGAGATGTTTTGCAGAACGAATTATATCAAAACACCACTTTACAAAATTACATTAAAGAGCGAATTTACCGGCTGGTTTTAGCGAGGCCTTTGTTTATTGTTACCAGTTGATTGTTACCCAAGTGCTGGGGATTGTTGGCTCATTAGGCACACGGGGAAGTGACAAGTGGATGAATGGACATAACAGGGGGGATATTAATAGGGTATTAAAAATATCAACACAAGACAGAACACGAAACAATGGGTATAAATTGGATAAGTTTACATTTAGGAAAGACTTGGGTAAATACTGGTTCAGTAACAGGGTTGTTGATTTGTGGAACCAATTGCCGCGTAACGTGGTGGTGGTGGTGTCCCTCGATTGTTTCAAGCGCGGGTTGGACAAGTATATGAGTGGGATTGGGTGGTTATAGAATAGGAGCTGCCTCGTATGGGCCAATAGGCCTTCTGCAGTTACCTTTGTTCTTATGTTCTGATTAGGAATGGGTTGGGAGGGAAAGATCACCTTGTAATGCTACGGGCTCACCATAGCCCGTGCTACTTGGAACTTTGTTCCAGGTAGCGAATCTTTAACAACAACAACCACCCTGTAATGGTTTATGCGTCTACCAATCACTCGCTGCTGAAGTGACATGCATTGTTGATCATGCTGAACCTCAGGTGACGTGCATTGTTGATCATGTTAAACCTCAGCATTGTTGATCATGCTAAACCTCAGCATTGTTGATCATGCTGAACCTCAGCATTGTTGATCATGCTAAACCTCAGCATTGTTGATCATGCTGAACCTCAGCATTGTTGATCATGCTGAACCTCAGCATTGTTGATCATGCTGAACCTCAGCATTGTTGATCATGCTAAACCTCAGCATTGTTGATCATGCTAAACCTCAGCATTGTTGATCATGCTAAACCTCAGCATTGTTGATCATGCTAAACCTCAGCATTGTTGATCATGCTAAACCTCAGCATTGTTGATCATGCTAAACCTCAGCATTGTTGATCATGCTAAACCTCAGCATTGTTGATCATGCTGAACCTCAGCATTGTTGATCATGCTGAACCTCAGCATTGTTGATCATGCTGAACCTCAGCATTGTTGATCATGCTGAACCTCAGCATTGTTGATCATGCTGAACCTCAGCATTGTTGATCATGCTGAACCTCAGCATTGTTGATCATGATGAACCTCAGCATTGTTGATCATGCTGAACCTCAGCATTGTTGATCATGCTGAACCTCAGCATTGTTGATCATGCTGAACCTCAGCATTGTTGATCATGCTGAACCTCAGCATTGTTGATCATGCTAAACCTCAGCATTGTTGATCATGATGAACCTCAGCATTGTTGATCATGATGAACCTCAGCATTGTTGATCATGCTGAACCTCAGCATTGTTGATCATGCTGAACCTCAGGACGCAGTGATGGCCAGGCTCAAGGTCCACAAAGGAATAAAATGAGGAATTTTAACAATTTTTATTTTATCAGTTATCAGCCATGTTACAGGAAGGTCATGTCCCTTGTTCTTGGCCCACCGGGAGGAACACGTTCTTGGTCCACCGGGAGGAACACGTTCTTGGTCCACCGCCAGGAACACGTTCTTGGTCCACCACCAGGAACACGTTCTTGGTCCACCACCAGGAACACGTTCTTGGTCCACCACCAGGAACACGTTCTTGGTCCACCACCAGGAACACGTTCTTGGTCCACCACCAGGAACACGTTCTTGGTCCACCACCAGGAACACGTTCTTGGTCCACCACCAGGAACACGTTCTTGGTCCACCACCAGGAACAAAGGCACTTCTCATAACGTCTTGAGAAGACGGATGTGGTAACAGTATTCTGAAGTAAACTAAGTGCTGTAGACAGTTTACGTGGTAAACCCGTTACCTACCCCTGTTACCTAGCAGTAAAATAGGTACCTGAATGTTAGTCAGCTGTCACGGGCTGCTTCCTGGTGGGTGGAGGCCTGGTCGAGGACCGGGCCGCGGGGACACTAAAAAGCCCCGAAATCATCTCAAGATAACCTTACCCCAACCCCCTCCTCTTCTTGGTCCTTATTATTGAACACAGAATGGACTTGGTGACTTTAAGTTAGGGTACTGAATCTAAGCTTTGCTGTATTTTTAAGCAAGGAGTTACAGATTAGATAGCTTGTAACTTGATATTTTTGGGTTAAAGAACTCATGGAGATGTAAATAATTCAGGCCATGTATTTTGATCTTAGCTTAACCTATAATTTAATGTAATTGTGTAGTAATTTTTCGCACCCAGCGTAGATTTTGAAAGTTAGGAAATAAGTTACTATAGCTTAGATCAGGCAGGATACCTGATCAACCAGGCTGGGATTCATACGGCTGGCTGCGAGCAGCCGTGTCCAACAGCCTGGTTGGACAGTCCAGCAACAGGGAGGCCTGGTCGGGGACCGGGGCGGGGGAACGTTGAGCCCCGAAATAATTGCAAGGTAACCGCAAGGTAACCACAAGGTAACCTGAAAGGGGTGGGCTTGACCCCAACATACTCCCAACATTGAGCGCATGTAACCAGACCTTGTAATGTGGCTAAGTTGTAAGGTGTAACTTATGCACGGGGGGGGGGGGGGAGGGTACTGACTGTTGTTTGTCAGTCGAAGGAGATAACTGTCGTTGAAAAATTCAGTTGAGATATGATTACATGGGCTGGGTGGGTGATAGTGGGTGTCCGTCCGTCCGTCAGACAGGGAGACGGGTGGATCTGTACACCTATAAAGAGCTACACTCAACTCTCCTGCCCTAATTAGGTACCGCAGTGTGTCGTCCACTCTGGCATACACCTGGCCCCCGGGTTCTCTCCCTGCTCACCTGCACCAACATCACCTGAAAATAAACTATTGCCTTAGTGGGAGCGGGGCAGCTGAGTGTTGAGCCCCTGGTACATATACCCACCTGTGCACTCACTACACACGCCAGCACCTGTGCACTTTGACTCGCTGCCATGTTTACACTCGGCCATACTTCTCGGCCCGCAAGTAACGCGCTCATTTAAGCCCAAAGTTTTGAAAAAAGTGTGTTGTAGAATCTTAGGAAAGTTTTATTTATGTGGCGTGATACCTTCCGGAGACTTGGGGGTGTAAACGTCATTGTAAGGTGTTGAGCAGTGAGGCCGTGAAGGTGTTGAACAGTGAGGCCGTGAAGGTGTCATCAGCACACAGTGTGAGGCCCGGGTGTATCAGGGTGTTGGCCACACAGGTGGATTGAGTACCACTGCACCTGGTTCTGTTGACGATGACTTGCTCGTGAAAGCCCAGACGGTGGCCGACGGTGACTTTAAACACATACACTGTTCCCCGTCCTTGTCTGAGGGGCCAAGCAGGGTTTGTAGCCAAAGGCTGGCCAAAGGGGCCAAAGGCTGAGTGTAGTCATACAACGCGAGGTGAAGTGATGGTGTGAAGTGTGTGCTCACTGCACAGGTAAAACTTGACTATTAAACATTAACAGTGAAATTCCTGTATATTTGTCACGCTCCCATCTTGTCTGTGAAGCTTGCAGTAGGACAATTAAATCACCTCTTGGCTCAAGAGAGACAAAACTGTCGGGCAATATGACTAAACACGAGGTCAGTGACGTCAAGAGGTTCAAGCCAGCAGAGTGTGAGGCTGATGTTACATTATACAGGTAAGTGCTGGCCACAAATAACACATTATACTGTAGCCCATCCACATAAACTATGCTCTAGAGGTCGTTAATCCAGCTGCCAAACCCCAAAATTTAGGAATACAAAAAAAAATCCATTTACACACACGACTGACGTTGTTGTTGTTTAAGATTCGCTACCCGGAACATAAAGTCCCGAGTAGCACGGGCTATGGTGAGCCCGTAGTCACGACTGACCTTTCAACTTTCCTTAGACAGTGGTTCGCTCTCGTCCTCTGATCGATTTTCATCTCTTAATTTCTTCCTCATTCATCTGCCAATTCACATAATCGTCAAGGGAACCAAAAGCTATCCTAGGCATGCAGGCGATGAGTCACAATAACGTGGCTAAAGTATGATGACCAGACCACACACTAGAAGGTGAAGGGACGACGACGTTTCGGTCCGTCCTGGACCATTCTCAAGTGGATTGTGAGAGAATGGTCCAGGACGGACCGAAACGTCGTCGTCCCTTCACATTCTAGTGTATGTTCTGGTCATCATTATCCTAGGCATAACTCTACACAAAATAATACAACCCATCCTCCAAGTAAAAGTAGTGTCATACACGTTACTTGGTGGACAGCGCCAGTACATAGTGATGGACCACCAGAAAGTTGACTCTTGTATTTATGAATTTAGACAAACAGGAACTTTCTAACAGCAACTTAAATATGAGACCTAACCTCTCCTAGCAATGCTAGGCCTAATACACGCTATATTAGGCCTAATATTGTACATAATAGGCCTAATATTGTACATATTAGGTCTAATATTGTACACATTAGGCCTAATATAGCACAAAATGTGCTATATTAGGCCTAGGAATAACTGTGGCTTTTAGTTTTTTCTGACTATAAAGTGAATAGTAGGAAAAGTAGTGTATTGGGGGCCCAACACTACCCGTTGGTACTAATACGAATATATATAGTAACGAAAATACGGTTTTAGGTCACACGGTACTGCATGTTAATATTGTCGAACGTGTCTTTGGGGGTTGGTGGCCGCTTGAACGAGCCTAGTCTGAGGATGGGAGGAGGGAGCAGAGGAGGCTGTGTGTGGGGGAGGAGGGGGATGGGGTTGTGACATGGTCCATGTGGATGGGGGAGGGGGGACGGTTGCAGACATGTGTAAACATTGATGAGGTTTGGGAGCTCTGAGAGTGACTCGACAAATGCTCTTACCCCCCATGCACCTAGATTGTTGCTGTGATTAGTTTATTGTGCACCCCATACTCGTCCTGTGGGTGGTTTATTGTGCACCCCATACTCGTCCTGTGCGTGGTTTGTGCACCCCATACTCGCCCTGTGGGTGGTTTATTGTGCACCCCATACTCGTCCTGTGCGTGGTTTGTGCACCCCATACTCGCCCTGTGGGTGGTTTGTGCACCCCATACTCGCCCTGTGAGTGGTTTATTGTGCACCCCATACTCGCCCTGTGAGTGGTTTATTGTGCACCCCATACTCGCCCTGTGAGTGGTTTATTGTGCACCCCATACTCGTCCTGTGCGTGGTTTGTGCACCCCATACTCGCCCTGTGGGTGGTTTATTGTGCACCCCATACTCGTCCTGTGCGTGGTTTGTGCACCCCATACTCGCCCTGTGAGTGGTTTATTGTGCACCCCATACTCGCCCTGTGAGTGGTGGTTTATTGTGCACCCCATACTCATCCTGCGAGTGGTGATGCTATAGTATTACAGAGGTCGTAAAAGGGTTTGATCCGACCTCTGTTAATGAATGCTAATTACCCTTTGCTTTTGCAATGTCTGTACATCTTGTATATAATTTCAATGATGGATAATAGCGACCACCCCTTACTGTCGCTGCTACGAATCACTGTGTAATATTATACACTGACGGCGCCATTTCATTAATACTCGACTACTCTTGGCCTTGGATATTGCGGAACAATTCAAATTTTAAAAACATTCATAAATGCTTGAACACTTATAGTTGGGTCAGTTTACACAGGTTTACAGTAAGTTTGGTGGTAGAAGTAGCCTAAGCTACTCTATCCCTTTGAGATGTATTTTTTTTTGTTCTTCTCTCAATAAACTTACTTGAACTACAGTAAGTTATTTACCATTCGAGGATGTCGCAATAATGTTGAAAGTGTTGCGGTTTGATTTTAGGCTACACAGTTTATAATTTTATCAGATGTACTCTTTAATTTGTAGAGCCGTGGCTGTCGGCAGCCTGAGGCAGGCTTATATCCCCAGGTTCATAGCCACTTTAGTCCTATCGTGAGGTTATCTTGAGATGATTTCGGGGCTTTAGTGTCCCCGCGGCCCGGTCCTCGACCAGGCCACCACCCCCCCAGGAAGCAGCCCGTGACAGCTGACTAACACCCAGGTACCTATTTTACTGCTAGGTAACAGGGGGCATAGGGTGAAAGAAACTCTGCCCATTATTTCTTGCCGGCGCCCGGGATCGAACCCGGGAGCACAGGATCAGAAGTCCAGTGTGCTGTCCACTCGGCCGACCGGCTCCCTGCACTGCTCCTCCACTGCTCTCCATGGTAACTTTCCACTGCTTTCAGGGGGTGGAAGCAGTGGAAAGTGGTAACTTTCCACTGCTGTGAGAGTAACTTTCCGCTGCATATGAGACCTTCCGGAACTTGTGAGTCGACGGCGACCTTTCTTGTAGGTGCCTCTGGTGTGGTCTCTAGTCCGCCTTACTCAACACTTTAATGTTTTCACCATCTGAAGGCGGTTTATGGCTTCCTTTTCCTGGAGAGAAAAAACGTGAGGATAAGAGGAAGAGAGAGAGAGAGAGAGGAGGAACCTCTTGACCTCTCTTGGGACTGTCGTAAGTAGGCCTTCAGGGCGCGTGGAGAGTCTAAGTGTGTATCGAGGGGGTTTAACTTCTAAAGACAGTCTCTCCATGGCTTCCTCACCCTGGTGCCGGCTGTGACCTTCCTGGATGAGATATATATATCTCTCGTAATATCTTATACATACGGAGTGACGGAATGGTTCGTGCGCGGTGTCCACAAGCGGGTGTTCGTCCTTGTCAGGTCATCGCTCATCCTCCACCACTGTGTCATGTTAACATCACCAGGTGAAACTTTGGACACATCAGCTTGAAAAGCCCGGAGGTCGAGGGTTGGTGGCGCAGCTCAGGGGATAACCTCGTCAGCGGCTCTGACGCCGTTTCCAGCAGTTTGTTATGGCTCCTGGATAAAGTTTGAGGGTTCAGGAATCGTCTTGGCGGCTGCCACAGCAAGTGATATCGTCTAATTTTTGTTTTGTTTTAGGCTTGGCTATCTTACCAGGTTGAGTACCTGTTAATACCTGGGAGGGAAGGGAAGGGGAGGAGTACCTGGGAGGGAAGGGGGGAGGAGTGAGTTACCTGGGAGGGGAAGGGGGGAGAAGTGAGTTACCTGGGAGGGGAAGGGGGCAGGAGTGAGTTACCTGGGAGGGGAAGGGGGCAGGAGTGAGTTACCTGGGAGGGGAAGGGGGCAGGAGTTACCTGGGAGGGGAAGGGGGCAGGAGTTACCTGGGAGGGGAAGGGGGCAGGAGTTACCTGGGAGGGGAAGGGGGCAGGAGTTACCTGGGAGGGGAAGGGGGCAGGAGTTACCTGGGAGGGGAAGGGGGCAGGAGTGAGTTGCCTGGGAGGGGAAGGGGGCAGGAGTTACCTGGGAGGGAAGGGGGCAGGAGTTACCTGGGAGGGGAAGGGGGCAGGAGTTACCTGGGAGGGAAGGGGGCAGGAGTTACCTGGGAGGGGAAGGGGGGACTATAAACTGGGACACAACGCCTCACGGCTGTTACGGGGCTATTCATGCCCGTGCCACTTCTTGGGTGGCTTTATCTTTATCAATCAATCACAATCATCACAATCGACTTGATAATGATCCAGGACGGACCGACACGTCTCCTCATCATCCGGCGTGTAGTTAGCTCATCATATCTTCAGTCCCGCTATTGTGACTCATCGTCTGCATACATATTGATGAATACGATAATATACATAGACCCAACAGTACGGTACAGTAGTGTTCGGGTAGAGTGGGTACAGCAGCACGGTACAGTGTTACTAATGGTACAAGTCATTATGATCTTGTGTGGTGTGATCACCGAGACTGTTGGTACCAGCGGATTGCAGGCCCGACATGTATAGCACAGCCTGGTTGATCAAGTATACCTTCTGGAGGTGCTGATAAGTTCCATTTTGGACACCCCTTTGAGGTCCATTAGTAATTGCCCCTTAATGGGAGCAATTATTACACATCCTGCCGTCTAGAGAGTACACACAGTGAAGCATTTACGCATCGTCTTAAAGAAACCTGGACCTCTTTCTTAACTCATGATGGCTTTGTTGACATATTAAACGGTTTATGATCGCTGAAGCACCACGAGGTTGCTGAGAGGAAAACTAGTCTTGGTCTGTGAAGTTTCCTAGCTCGTTAAGTGGTTAGTAAATGTTAAGGTAGCCGCCATATGTAAGGCAAGATGTTTTGTAGGTGGTTGCTTAAATGTCAGACACCACCCACCTACCTGTTGGGCGGAGGACACCACCCACCCACCCACCTGTTGGGTGGAGGACACCACCCACCTACCTGTTGGGCGGAGGACACCACCCACCCACCCACCTGTTGGGCGGAGGACACCACCCACCCACCCACCTGTTGGGCGGAGGACACCACCCACCCACCCACCTGTTGGGCGGAGGACACCACCCACCCACCCACCTGTTGGGCGGAGGACACCACCCACCCACCCACCCACCTGTTGGGCGGAGGACACCACCCACCCACCCACCCACCTGTTGGGCGGAGGACACCACCCACCCCCCCACCCACCTGTTGGGTGGAGGACACCACCCACCCCCCCACCTGTTGGGTGGAGGACACCACCCACCCACCCACCTGTTGGGTGGAGGACACCACCCACCCACCCACCTGTTGGGTGGAGGACACCACCCACCCACCCACCTGTTGGGTGGAGGACACCACCCACCCACCCACCTGTTGGGTGGAGGACA